ATCAGTATGTAGTACATATGAATCCAAGTCTACCAGACATTCAGAAATTCAATTATTTAAAATCACAACTTGGAGGTGAAGCATCTCATACTATTGATGGGTTCGCATTGACAAACGCTAATTATAAGGAGGCAGTTAACGTATTAAAAGAAAGATACGGACAATCGAGCAAGATTACACAAGCACACATGAAAGCATTGCTTGACATTACACCCGCAAGTACTGATTTAGCTAGTTTACACGTCTTTTATGACCGTTTAGAAGCATCCGTGCGTGTACTAGAAGCTTTAGGGCAATCACAAGACACTTACGACACATAACTAGTCCCAATAATTTTGAGTAAGCTTCCAGGAGAAGTAAGGCATCATTTAGAACCAGAACATGGATCAAGTACTTGGACTTCATCAGATTTACGCAAATCTCAATATTATTGAAGCAGGTCAGGATTACAGTATCCGACAAAGCTATTCTATCTCGCCTACATGTACGTTTCTCGTTGAAACACAATCTTACGGAAAACAGTTATATATGCCAAGAAGTGTCAATTATGTAAACATTAACCAATGTGTTCTAACCGCGAGACCATGTATATACTGTCAAGAAATTCACGCACCGGTGAACTGTACACGGATTACAGACACAAACGAACGAATGGAAATCGTAAAATGCAGCAATCTTTGCTTTAATTGTCTCGGTATGTACAGAGTCAATGAATGTAACTCTAGACATGTATGCCTTCATTGCAAGAAAAAACATCATACTACCGGTAGCTTATGCAATGAATCAATGGTCGATAACAGAAGTACATATGTCCAAAACCAAAATTACATGAATAGTAACGCCAATCGTAACGAAAATGAAGAACATAGACACGAACATTCTACTGAACCATCACAATCCGTCAATGTTAACATTGTAAATGAAAAAGAGGGAAAAACAGAAGATGACACAAAAGTTCTTCACACATTGCATAAGGCACATTCAAGCGTATTATTGAAAACAGCAGTTGCTCCCATTTGGTCCGATAGTACAGGTATCGACGCAAATATTCTTTTTGATGAAGGTGCCCAACTTTTGTTCATTACAGAAGACCTTGCTATGAAACTAAAACTTAAAATCTACAACACAGAAACAATACAATTGTCCTGTTTCGGAGACACCGATAATAACATACAACACTTAGGTAAGTGTACTTTATTGGTAGAAACAGATACGAGACAGAAAATACCTATTGATGTTCTTGTTGTACAGAAAATAGCCATTCCGTTACAGAATCATGTCCGAAAACTAGACTTGAATCAAAGCACGAAAGCGCTGTAAAGGCAGTTAATTACAGGTTGTGTGTATTTTAAGTCCAGTTATATCATTATCTTGCATAGTACAGTGTACTTATCAGAGGTGGCTTTCAGTATTTAAGATTTAGAGTTCTCTAATGATATTGAATAAGTTTTATGAATGTCATATTCTGAGCACTATATGAAGGCGATTGTTCTCACTTGTTTATGAACTAGTGCATTATGTCCAGTTTGTACCTTTTTTATCTATGTTTATAGTCAAATTAGTTATCAAAGGTACCAGGATTATAATTTAATACGCCAGACGTGTGTTTCGTCTACATAAGACTCATCAGTGACGTTCAGATCAAAATAGTAACAAAGCCAAACAAGTACAAAGTTGAAGAGCATTGAGGACCCAAAATTCCAAAAAGTTGTGCCAAATACGGCTAAGGTAATCTATTCCTTGGATAAGAAAATCCTTAGTTTTTTCATTGGCAATCATAACACATCTCCTTATTTATATAATGATCTATATTCAACGACCTCAGGTACAAAAAAAATGTATGTAACTAAACTATGATGGGAAACCTTTGACTTCTTTCTTTATATAAACTTTTGATTTGGTACCATAGAACTATGTAGAGTAAATGTACATTGCAACATGTCAACTCTTTCAACTCCAAGCAAAATTATATTTCCAAGCATAAAGTAATTTATGAATGAAATAAAATGCTCCGCTGGGGCGCAGCTTGATACGACCGCAGAGGTCGAACCCTGAACAGTTGGGGCAAGTATGAACACAACATTCAAGCTTGATTCAGCACTGAATTTGGATTGTAATTAAATATTTGACACAGCATAGGTTTCTGACACAGAATGAAAGTGGTCTAAGATACTTAAAAAAATTTAATTTACCTATTCAAACCATATCATTATTATTTGCTTTTATATATAAATCAGAAATAACCAATTTAAAATGGAAAATTTTAAAGAAAAAAAAGGAAAAAGAATCCCCCCCCCCAAATTTTTTGAACCCCCTTATGATTCATCACCCCAAAACTCAATCCCAGCCTTCCCTTTGTGGTATGGTACCTTGCAGTACAATTTCAGAGAGATCCATACACTTGAACACATGTTATTGTCTGGAAACTAGAAAAATGCTTGTTTTTTTGCCCCTTTTTGGTCCCAAATTCCTAAACGTTTAGGGCAATTACCCCCAAACTCAAACCCAGCTTTCCCTTTGTGATATGGAACCTTGTAGTACAATTTCATAAAGATCCATACACTTACACACAAGTTATTGCCATGAAACTAGAAAAATGCTTGTTTTTTGCCCCTTTTTGGCCCCTAATTCCTAAAATTTGGAGGCAATTACCCCAAAAATCAATCCCAGCATTCCCTTTGTGATATGGAACCATGTGATACAATGTCAGAGAGATCCATAGACATACACACAAGTTAGTGTCATGAAACTAGAAAAATGCTTGTTTTTTGCCCCTTTTTGGCCCCTAATTCCTAAAATTTGGAGGCAATTACCCTCAAAATCAATCCCAGCATTCCCTTTGTGGTAAGGTACCTTGCAGTACAATATTCAGAGAGATCCATACACTTGAACACAAGTTATTGTCTGGAAACTAGAAAAATGCTTATTTTTGGCCCCTTATTCCTAAACTTTTTGGGCAATTACCCCCAAACTCAATTCCAGCTTTCCCTTTGTGATATGGAACCTTGTAGTACAATTTCATAAAGATCCATACACTTACACACAAGTTATTGCCATGAAACTAGAAAAATGCTTGTTTTTTGCCCCTTTTTGGCCCCTAATTCCTAAAATTTGGAGGCAATTACCCCCAAATTCAATCCCAGCATTCCTTTTGTGATATGGAACCTTGTGATACAATGTCAGAGAGATCCATAGACTTGCACACAAGTTATTGTCATGAAACTAGAAAAATGCTTGTTTTTTGCCCCTTTTTGGCCCCTAATTCCTAAAATTTGGAGGCCATTACCCCCAAAAATCAATCCCAGCATTCCCTTTGTGATATGGAACCTTGTGGTACAATGTCAGAGAGATCCATACACTTACACACAAGTTATGTCTGGAAGTTACAAAAATGCTTATTTTTGGCCCCTTTTTGGCCCCTAATTCCTTAACTGTTGGTACCATAACCCCCAAAATCAATCCCCACTTTCCTTTTGTGGTATTGAACCTTATTTTAAAATTTCATTGAGATCCATTCACTTAAACTAAAGTTAGAGTGCGAAAACTAATGTGTCTTCGGACGACGACGCCGGACGACGACGACGCCAACGTCATACCAATATACGACCACAAAAATTTTTTTGCAGTCGTATAAAAAGGAGTTCTTAATTAAGAAATAAACTGATTCGCTGAGCGCAGCTGGATACACCCGCAGAGGTACTACCCTGAACAGCTGGGGCAAAAATGGACACAATATTCAAGCTTGATACAGGTCTGAATTTGGATTGTAATTAAATATTTGACATATTATAGTTTCTGAATAAATGTAGTCAATGAACTTGAAATCGGTTATATGAATTGAATTTATATTCAATTAAAGATTTCTTGCTGTTGTGCAATACACTGTGCTGTTGTGCAATACTTAATAAATCTGTTGCCAGACTATAAACAAATAAAGTTCAATTTCTTCTCAATGTCATATTTGAAATTTATGAAAATCAATAGGGAGATTACATCAATAGCTATAAATAATTCACCAAAGTTTCATGTGAACTGCTTAAAGCATTTTTGAGTTGTTGTCCAAAAACTGGAAAATCCCCCCTTTTTTAATGAATAAAACCCCATAACTCAGAAATGTAAAATCTAAAATTTATAAAATTCTAAAGGGAGCTTACGGATTGATAATTTAGTCTTAGATGCAAGATTTTTTTATCAGTTGTTAGTGGCTTTGAACTAGCTGTCAGTAACTGCGAGTACTCTCAGATTTGTACTTAGTGTCTTTTTGTTGTTTGGATGTACAACTACCTGACCACGTCCACTTGTATTTGTATTTATCCATCTGATTTTTATAGTTCTTTCTTATATTGTACTGTTACACCACTGTCCCAGGTTAGGGGGAGGGTTGGGATCACGCTAACATGTTTAAGCCCGCCACATTCTGTATGTACATGTATGTGCATGTCCCAAGTCAGAAGCCTATAAAAGTGTAATTCAGTGGTTGTCGTTTGTTTATGTGTTGCATATTTGTTATATTTGTTCATTTTTTTACATAAAATAGGCCGTTAGTTTTCTTGTTTGAATTGTTTTACATTGTCATTTCTGGGCCTTTTATAGCTGACTGTGCGGTATGGGCTTTGCTCATTGTTGAAGGCCGTACTGTGACCTATAGCTGTTAATTTCTGTGTCATTTGGTCTCTTGTGCATGTGTGGAGAGTTGTCTCATTGGCAATCATACCACATCTTCTTTTTTATATTTACATCAACAGATATAAAAAATTCACCAAAGTCAAGGTGAGACAACAAAACTTAGTTGTAAGATCTCTGAAATTTTTTACAGGGTACGAGTTTTTCTCATTGTTGGAGATTGTACGGTGACAGTAACACCTGTAACTGCTTAAACCCATTTCTTATGCACTTTAGTTTGATAAACTCACTGAATATCATACCACATCTCCTTATTTTTATATGCATTACAATTTACATGTGCATGTAATTGTAAATATATATATATCAGAACAAAATTCATTGCGTCACTTTTATTTATGCATCCTTTGGCACAATACAAGTTCTAAAATTACACAACATAAAACAACTAAATGTTATTTCAGATGAAAGTTTTGTTTCAGTTCCATTCATAGGATTTATTAAAATTTTGTATGTTTTGCCAAGTCCAATGATTCGCTCTATGTGACATAGAGACATAGTTGACTAAACCACCAGGTGTCGAACATTCAAGAATTTTCAGTGTTTCTGTTTTTATTTGATGAAAAGGTTGCCTGAGCTCTAGGAGCTTTAGGTTTTATCACGGGATATTCTGTGCTGTCAATAATAATCCAAGTCGTAGGAAACTTTAATTTGAAGTTGGATGGTGAAAAATACCTGACTAAACCACTAGATGGCCAAGTGTTAGCCTCACACCACTGTTTAGACATAAAAACAATCCATGTATACACAATATTCTTAACACTAGATTCAATCTAGAATCTAGACAGTTCAAAGTTGGTTGTATGATGCCTCAATTTCATCAAAGTCATAAAAAAACTGATTTTCAACTGACACCCTATCAATTTGAAAATATATGTATCTCAAACAATGTGCTGCTGGACCAAGCATGCCAAGTGTGGTCAAAACAAATAAAAATTTAGTATACAACTCTAAACCGGTATAAAAATGCATGGCTGTGTCACGTGTATTCATTTCAAAATTCTCTGTTAAAAACATAGGCATTGATGGTGTTTGCGTAATTCCATCTGTGAAGCTCAACATTAGCTCGGCAGTTGGTGGTGGACAGTCATAAATCCTTTCTGCATTATGAATGACTTCTTCAGGAAAACCAACTTTACAATCAAAACTTTCCTCTAGATTTCTACTACAATATTCATCAAGTTTAGTTCTTTTGTTTTCACAGGAAACTGCCCTGATTTTTCTTTTAGCGGACGATTCAGTCTCTTGCTTGGTCCAGGAAAATAGGCTGGGAATTGCAGTAGACTTAAGTCTCTGTATGGTGGGTTTGCGCCCTGAAAAAGGTTATAAAACATTAGTTTTTTTATAATTAAATGAACTTCCATTAGCAATGTATACTTTGTACTACCTGGCGAAATATTAACTAGATTTATTCATTACAATCTGGATAAAACTATGTTTGCCTGATTCAATGTATGTTATGTAAATCCAAAGGACAAACAATGAGAGACTTATGCAACAAACGTACATTGTTTGTACCTAAATAACTATAATATAGATGAGAGCATGTCATTGTTTTGTTCCTGTTAACATTGTCATTGATATTTTTCAAGAAAGTCTATGAGGCATAGCTTATGCATTCCTGTCATTACTACATTAGCATAATTACTGCTAAAATAATTCTCAGTATGATATACCTCTTGTAAGAAATCATTATAATTGTAGCAATCACCAAAAAATCTCAAACAGATCACATTGAATCGTAATCCAAAAAATTATGACGTCTTGAATTACCCACCCCCTTTTATTCTAAAACGATAATTGCGGTTGTAAACAGACTTTGGTTTATTCGCATGGCGATTACATATATAACTATATATTTCACAAAGAAAATAGAGTTTTACCATGAATAGTTTCCTGCACGTAGTCTTTTTCAGTAAAACGTGCCTTGCAAACAACAGCTGATTGAGATGGACTCCACGATATCATCGTGTTTTCGTCCAATCTGCGTATGGGCCATGGCGTTGATCCAACTTTTCCTTCTTTTTAAGTCATTTGGAAATGCATGTCCTCCTCTTAAATGACATCCAGGTACACAACAACAAGTACTTGGCATCGTTAATTAAAAATATAACTGAAATAGTTGCACAGTGCAGAAACCGGAAGAAGAGGAACAGGATCCGCTACCACGGCGCCACCTATTCAGGATCGATAATTTGATACTTTATATAACTGCGAAAATAACGTTAGACGGGTTCACGTGCATAAACAGAAATGCGCTTTAAATTGTATAATATAATTCATGTTCAGTCGACCTTTAATTATTATATCAACGACTGAAATGATTTATAAACATCTAGATTGCAGATAACACTCGAAATTAACCCGAGCTCTTTCCACACGGAATTCAAATAATTCTAGTTTGTCAATCGGTTGACTGCTTATAATGCAAAATACTAATATATCAAAAGTTTTTAAAACTAACAAAACACAATGATCGTTTCTCTATTTCCCAATGTAAATGAAATGAAACAAAAAACATTTTATATCGCAATAAGAAGAGGAGAGAATTCAACATTTCCGGATCTACTTAGAGTTTAATGACCCCCCACGTAGATAAGTTGGATATCGCGGAAGGAAGGATTAACCCGGCAACTAGAAAGGCATTAAAGCACTGCCTTTAAAAACAAGTACATGTATCTACAAGGCTTGAATCTAGCCCATCCAATCACCGACGAAAATATGTTTGAAATTGCAGTTTTAATAGGAGCAGATTACTATTGGCAGTTTATTGAAGACCAAATCATCCGCGAAGATGGACCTACTGCAGTTAAATCAAAGCTAGGCTACCTTCTATCCGGTCCGTTAAAGGAGTCAGCTACACACTCATTATCAGTACTTAACACAGGGCTCACACTACTTCAGAATCATAGGGAGAAGTGACTTCTCTTTTTGAAACTGACAGGGAGAAGTGGTGAGATTTGAAAGAGAAGTGTTCCTTCGAGCGCTGCGCTACAATGTTTGGTTTTTACTTCCTAAAGTACAAAGGGTCATATGTAAATAATGTTCTTTTTATATTGTTCAATTCATATCTGAGTATACAATTAAAGTAACAGTTCAAATTCAAAGTTGTTTAAGTTTAGGTTCTTGTGAGAAACTACCAACTAAATAATCTAGCACTAAAATTTTTTTTTTTATGTCAAAAAGGTAAAGAAATTATAATATATCAATTACAATTCAGTTAAAAAACTATCTTGTTTATCATGTTTATCATGTTTATGAAATTCAGTGTTTCTCATCAAAAGATATACAAAGTTAAGCTGGATCATAATATATTGATATAATAGTATTATAGTCCCAGAGTTATGCAACTTTAATCAATATTTTGAAACAATCCATATGTATGGAATTATATACATTAATCAAGTAGATCTAACCAAAAGTCTGCTTATGCGTGTGGAATGCGTAATTTTCCTTTTGGGATCAATATTCTTCTGTCAGTTGATCCATTCATGCGTCCGTAGTTATTATTGTAAAAAATACAGATTTCTGTCATAGCTGGTCCGTCTCGGATCCGTAGTTAGTAAACAGTTAATGACGGGAGAAGAAAATTTACAAAAATAAACGATGTTGGACAAGCTATTTGGAAAGGAATATGACGTTTTTAATGCAATAAATGGATTAAACATTTACTGGATGAAACTTTTATCACGTTCAAATGAAGTAACAAACTTACTTTGCCACCGAAACTTAGATTGTTGTACGCTCTCGAGTACCGGAAGTGCATGAAGTGATAAAAAATTGTCTTTTTATTAAATAACCTGCTACACACTGTAAGGTCAATGCTTAAACCTCTTTTCTTTAGATAATGAATCGTTTATGTCTGAATTTCTTTGATTATCAATAAAAGATTGATGTTTCATCGACTTGGTAAAAATTGAAAATGTCCGATGATGAAAGTGACTGAAAGCGAGTATGGTGAACAACAGGGCGACTACATTTCGCTTTTGACGGACGGGAAAGCGACTTTATTGCCCCAGTCGCCTGCTAGTGTGAGCCCTGTTAACATGCTTATTTCGCATAAGACCGAGGAGTTCGACATCCCATCATTCTGGAACTTAGACTCCGTGGGAATCAACTCCAAAGAACATAGAAGTTCTGTTGGAAGAATTGATAACGAGGGATGTAACAGAAAAATAAAACATTACATACCGCACCACCGAGTTAGAAAAAAAGAAGATGCGTGTAAATAAAGTACCGTACAAGACATTCGACTGTCCAAGACGTCAAGCAAGTTTAAAAGCTGATGAGGATGAATCTGCCATCAAAACGAGATATGTTAAAGGACAGATGTGAACTGTTAACAACCCCCTTTTTATGAACTGTAAATCGTTATTAAGTGTTAAAGTGTCAAATTTTAATACCACTTTACAGAGACAGTAATTATTTTCTATACATAGAGACTTTAATTTTCAAGCGTAAAGATATTTTTAATTTGAAATTTCTTATTCACATTTGAGATTGTATAGTATATAAAATTTTATCTTTTTGCTGCCCCCCAGAATGTTGTAAATACGGCGCGAACACAACGGGGGAAGTCACTTATTTCTTATATTGTAACGTAAAGACTTTGTGACGTGTCACTTGTATACGTGGGCATTCTATAGATCGATTACAAATTATAACATGTAGAACGTTTTCTTCCTTTATTCACGTATTCTCGACACATACCACATCTTCTTATTTATATATATGATATATATTTCAATTAGACAATCACTTTACAGTATAAATTAAAAAAAAAAGAAATTACAGATTAACATGACGTCTTCCATAATAAATATGATTCTTTACCAGATGTCAAGCTCTAAATAAACCCAAGCCTAGATGAGTTGTGATAGAGACAACTGAAGATCTGCCATCAACTTTCCTTTCAGATCAAACAATATTTAGCTACAAATAACTACAGCAACATACCTCCAAATCCTCTTTCATCTAATAACTCTCCTGAAATTACCATTGGCTTTATTCCTAATTCTTTACCTACTTCATTAATTTCCTGAAACACATTTACAGGAAAAATAAAAATATTACATGTGTACTAAGGAAAAATATAAGAACACTAAAACTAAAAGCATGTATCAGATTGTATTTCAACTCTTCTATATAAAACAAATTTGATTAAAACTCTTTAATACTATAAACATAATAATAATAAAAGTAAAAATACATGTGATTCAAATGCCACCATGCCCAGTTCACTCCATCACATAATTTCAATGTTCATTGAACAATAAAAACTGAGTCTAAATCCTAATTTGGCATATATATTTTTATTAGCACACCTAAATGACCGGGTGTACTATTGATTTTGACCACAAATGTATGGTTTACTACCTGAAACCAAAACAGGATGAGGACAGACAGGCAGACTGGAAAACATAATGGCCCCTTCTCTATTAGGAATGGTATAAAGTGATTGTTGGTACCCACATAACCAGTAGCTGATCCTAAATTTTACCTTCTGATCAAATATGTATAAAGGATTAAAGCCAGTAGTTACCCCAATAAACAGCCCTGTAAATGTGTCTTTTTTTAAACTTCAATTGTTTGAGTAAATCTACTGTGCAAGTATTGCTATTAATAAAATGTATTATTTTTTAAAGTACATGTATATATATTTTTATTTTTCATATTTTATTGAAATCTGTGCATTTGTTAGTTGAAAAACATCAAAGACCTTATCTCGGCCTCATTAACATTAATAAATGTGGATAGTGTCCACATGTGGACACAGATGATCATATAGTTATAAAATGACATAACTGAAGAACGGTAAAAGTGACGCTACCCAAATTTGAACTTGATCTGAGTTTTGTGGTAATAAGCATTGTGTGTAAGTCTCATAACATTTGGTTGAGGCTAACTTAAACAGAGAACAGAAACTAAAAATTCAGCAATTTTTCTATTTGTAAACACGCATAACTCTAGAACAGTTGTGTTTAAGTTTTAAAACATTTGGTTTAGACAAACTAAAAAATTCAGCAATTTTTATGTTTATAAAGGGACATAACTCAAGAATAGTAAAAGTGTCGCCACCAAATTTCGTGATCTGTGTTTTGTGATAATAAGCATTGTGTATAAGTTTCATAACATTTGGTTGAGGCAAACTTAAGTTAGAGAACGGAAACTAAAAATTTTGCAATTTTTCCATTTATAAAGGGGCATAACTCTAGAACGGTTAGAGTGACGCCACCAAAATTCAAACTTGATCTGTGTTTTATGGTAATAAGCATTGTATATAAGTAACATAACATTCGGTTGAGGCAAACTCAAGTTTGAGAACGGAAACCAATTTTGGGACGTACGAAGGTACAGACGGACAAGGGTAAAACTTAATGCCCCCTCCGCTACGGCAGGTGCATAATGATTAAAAAATAACATATTTATACAGCAGTTAGTATTTGTTAGTAATATACATACAATATTACATACTGAAAAAAATTGTCAGTTATATTAAATAAGAAGCTTACCATTTAGATTTTCAAACATAATTATCTACTTTAACAAATGCACAGGTTATGAAAAATATAGAGCGTGTGTAGTTTTGGTGGTAAAATGTAAAGATATCTATTTTGAGTATGTCTGTAGATTTCTTAGTCATCAAACATAATTGTCTTAAAATGAAACACAAATATATTGAAAAAAAAAAGGTAATCAAAGAGAATTGTTATTTTTTTCAGTTAAATGTTGTTTTGTTTGTTTTGGTTTTTCATTTGCACAGATGATTATATAGTATTTCAACATATAAGAGCAAATATATCATATGACAATTCTATTTCTACTAAATTATGTACACATACACATTGTAAATAAATGGAGAATGTGTCCATGGAACACAGATGATACATGTACTCCTGCTTCCATATATCAATAAAAAGGGAAGTTTCTCCAGAACGATAAAGGTGACGCCACCTAAATTCCAACTTGATCTGTGTTTAGTAGTAATAAGCATTATGTATAAGTTTCATAACATTTGGTTGAGGCAAACTTAAGTTAGAGAACGGAAACGAAAAATTCAGAAATTTTTTCAATTTGTAAAGGGCATAACTCTCAAACGGTAAAAGTGACGCCACACAAATTCAAACTTGATCTGTGTTTTGTGGTAATAAGCATTTTGGTAGCAGTGGTGGCGGCATAAAAATAACTGATCAATCACTTAAAAGTATGGCAAAAACATTCCAACTCTTGTCAAAGATATCTACTCTTTTATTTTTAACAGCAATTAATTTTTCAATGCTGTATAGATTTTATTTTACTTTGCACTGCCTGCAATGTTAAAGTTTTTTTTTTAAATATTTTCAATTGAAAATATATTGTTTTATTTGAAGATAAATCAAATTTAAAGCATCCCCCTAAATGATTTTTGTAATATTCCCAAACAGAAAACTTTTTATGGTAAATTGAACACGTATACCATTAGACAAAAACTAAGAGTCAGTTTCATCAATGAATGTTTGAACAATCTCACAATTCCAAAATACATGTTAAATTGTTTCTGCTTCTTCTTGGCAAAAAGTACAATTTGGATTATCAATGACATTAATTTTATTCAAAAATTTATTTGTTCCTAAAATATGCTGGTTTATTCTATATTGTAACCACTACATTTTGAATTTTTTT